ATACTTCACTTGCTTATCGTTCCAACAATCTGGCGATTCTGTATTTGGTAAAAAAACTTCATTTTCTGATGCTTTAGTTTCACTTTCTGCGGTCGTATTTCCTTATAAATTTAAAAAAAAACCTTGAAGCAAAGTTTATAAAATATAATATACTGTAGAACTTCTATATAGCGATCACTGAAGGGACTGTAAATAATGACCGCTATTTAGAGGTTCCCGTCCTACAGAGGTGACCGTTAACAGAAGTTCAAGACCTTCTAGGTGACCGCTATATAGAGGTCATACAAATTTTAAAAATAAAACACCAATATCTAAATAACGCATATGAATATGGGTATTAAAAATTGTAGATAATATTCACCTAAGTATCATTTGTCGGTAAATAACTTTAAAATTTTGGATTATACCTTGATCTAAAGGCTGACAGTGTGACGTCGTATTTGGTGGTAAAAATACTAAGTTTATGTTTTGTAGTTTTAAATCAGGATGTGATGTTGCATTATCTAAAAACAAAATAATTTTACGCTTTTGTTTTTTCATTTTTTCATCAAACCACATTAACCACTCAGTCATTATACATCGTGTCATCCATGCATTTTTATTTGCCTCCCAGTGTAGGTCTAAGCGTTTTATGTCCACATTCTTAAAGCAACGAGGTTTCTTAGATTTACCTATGATTAGTGGCTTTTCAAATTCACCTATTAAATTAACGCATAACATGACCGTCAATCTTTCTTTAGACTTTTTCCCAGAAATACAAATTTCATTTTTAAAACTTATTGTTTTATTAGGAAGAATTTTATAAAATAATCCTGTTTCATCTGCATTGTAAATATTTCGTGGCTCATAAGAAGAAATTAATTGTTTGACTTTTATACGCCATTCGTCCACTGTTTCCGTATCAACCGATTTACTCTCGCCGCAAAACACTTAAAAAGAAATATTGTAGCGTGATTTAAATTTATCAAGCCAACCATTTGACGCTTTAACATTTTCACATTCAAATTCAAATTCTTTACTTACTTGTAAAGCCTTTTCTTTAAGTATTGGTCCACTGATTGGAATATTTTTAGCACGGGCTGCCAGTGGCGTGGTGATGATGTTTTTGAGAGGCCTGGGCCTCTGAATTTTTGGGGGGGGGGGGGGGGGGGGTAGTTGGAATCTCATGACTAATATAAGAATATGCTATAATATTATGTAACGTATTTACGTATCATTTCAATTGTACCTATCCATAAACTGTAATAATAATTATTCAGGGACATTAAAATAGGCAAGCATGTACAACCGTCCGTTATTCTATCGTTAAAACGGCAGTAAAAACTAAAAACAATACAGTAATAAAGAGTTTAGTTCTATGAAATATAAATGTCGCTACTCGCTGTCGACGTCGTCTGTTTTCAGCCCACAACAACACGATAACACTAATCACTATTCCCAAATGAGTTCTCCACTTCTTAGTTCTATAAATACATTTTATGAATATCATTGCTACCTTGCCACCGCCCGCCAATCAATGAGCCTGATAATAATTATTGTTTGACATTATATATTTATTCAATATTATTTAATTCCATAATTCCATATTTTCTGTGAATTGTGATAATATTGTGTTTACTGTTTAGTAACTCACAAAGTCACAACCATACGTAGTATGTTCATTGAGTATTTTTGTCTCCGTGTTTAAATCAAATTTAAAACAAGTTAAATTGTTTGTTATTTTTTGTTATTTTCCTTACTTTGCTAATTGTTTTTACACAATATACCGCATTTTTTAAATTAATTTTATTCGTTTAATCCAATCAAGTTTGAAGTTTCTATATATTTTGTTCAATTAAATACCAATATTTTTACCAATAATATTCAAAATGTCGAATGAAGCATGTAGTTTTTGTAAAAGAAAACAAGAAAACCTAAATATGACTAATTGGACTCGACATATAATGTCTTGTAAAAAAAAGAGGCTTTCATCTGGTCAAAGTATAATGTCCTTCTTCAAACAGAAGCCGTCTACATCTAATAATATAGATATTGGTAAGTTTTAACTATAGTGTATGCCAACTGTAATATTTAACTTAGAATTAAATTTTGGTATAATTATTAATTATTGCTTATTACAATTAATGTATACAATTTTTAAAAGTAACTATTATTTTAAAATTAATTTTTATTATAGTGGTACTATAAAATAAATGTCGAATAAGAATTCAAATTCCATGACATCACAAAATGAAACTTGTGATGAAGTCATTAACTTTTGTTAAACTAATATAATATCCATATGAAAATCATATTGTAACAACTAACAGACCTATTGAATTTAGAAAAAAAATATATTATTTCATAATATTATGTATAATATAATTTTAAATTTAGGATTAAATTATGAGTTTCACACCGAGAACTCTGATGTTTTAGAAATTGAAGATAATGTACAGTCAAGTTCTAATAGTGCTACATATGATTTACCTAAAATAGAAGGTATGTATAATGCTTTATACTTGCATTATTATTTTTTATGCTTACGTCTACCATAATATACCTACTGTACCTATTATATTTTTTGAAGAATTTATAGAAAAAGTATATTTCATATTATTATGTATAATATAATTTAGGATTGAATGATGAGTTTCACACTGAGAACTCTGATGTGTTAGAGACTGAAAATGATGTACTGTCGAGTTATAATAGTGCTACACATGATTTACCTAAAATTAAAGGTATGTATAATACTTTTATTATTTATTTTGGTATAAAAGTTGTTAATTAATTTTTGTATATTTATTCAAATTTATACAATTTTAGTATTTGAAAATTATCCAAATAGTTCAACATAGTTTTGTTTTAATATTGTGAATAAATCAAGGAATTAATTTTAACTTAACTGAATACATTTGTTGAATTGTGTAGAAATGTATACTTATGTTCACAAATTAAACTTCAAATATATTTCTATCTTCTTCACAATTACTTAACTTATGTTAAACTAATATAGTATCCATATTAAAATCATACTGTAACAACTAAAATGTCAAATAAATTAAACATAATTTTATAGACCTATTGAATTTATGGAAAAAATATATTATTTCATAGTATTATGTATAATAATATAATTTAGGATTAAATGATGAGTTTCACACCGAGAACTCTGATGTATTAGAAATTGAAGATAATGTACAGTCAAGTTCTGATAGTGCTACACATGATTTACCTAAAATAGAAGGTATGTATAATAATTTTATTATTTATATTGATACAAAATTTATTAATTAATTTTTGTATATTTACACAAATTTTATTTTAGTATTTAAAAATGATCCAGCATCGATTCCATTAGTCATATTAGATGAAGTATTGCATTATTATATGTCCCTTGGTCCATGTCAGCCAAAATCTCATGATTTATTGAATAATACATTTCCCAAGACATATGAAAAAAGTGGTCATATAAGGTCATTTAATGAATACTATTATTATAAAAAAAACAATGATGGACAATTTATACAGAGGTCTTGGTTATCATATTCACCATCTGTAGATCGAATATTTTGTTCAACTTGTAAGCTTTTTGGTTTACCAGATACAAAAAAAATGTTTTTAGTAAAATGTGGATCTAATGATTTTAAAAATATAACACGGACTTTATCAAACCACGAATGCTCACCAGAACATATGCAGAGTGTGATAGCACATGGATTGTACATAAGAAATGATCGAATTGATCTAAAACTCATCGAAAGTGCCAATCGTCAGGTAGCTGACAACCGAGAACTTTTAAGACAAATTATTGATGCTCTTATTTACGTTGGAAGACAAAATATAGCTTTGAGAGGCCATCATGAGGGCATTGATTCAAATAATAGAGGAAATTTTTTAGAATTAGTTAAACTTTTGTCAAACAATCATGGTCCTTTGAAAATTCATTTAGAACAAATTGAAAGTAAAAAAAAAAATCGACTGACATTTTTATCTAACGTCACCCAAAATCACTTATTAAATAGCAGAAGTAATTAGATCTAAAATATTGAATGAAGTAAAAAAATCTGGGCAGTTTGCTGTAATAATTGATACAACAACCGATGTTAGCAATTTAGAACAATTTACATTTATTCTTAGGTATGTAAATGAAGAAGGTCTTGTTCAAGAACGACTGGTTTCATTAGTGACAGCATCAGATGCAACTGGACTAGGTATGTTTGAAGTATTTTGTGAAATAACTAACAAATATAATATTGAATGGAAGACCCAATTGATAGCTCAAGCATATGATGGCGCTGCATCTATGCAGGGACAATATTCTGGTTTAAAAACCAGAATACAAAATGAAAATCCACGTGCTATTTATATTTGGTGTTGTGCGCATTTATTTAATTTAGTAGTGGTTGATACATGCGATTGCTGTATAGTTTCCAAACTTTTTTTTGGAGTTGTTGGAAATTTTGTTGAATTTATGAGAGCAAGAAAGAGAACAGCTATTTTTGCAAAATTGCAGGAACAGTTATATCCTAATGAGCGTCTACGTCGAATGAAGCGATTTTCCACAACACGATGGACCTCTCATGATAGGGTATTAATTGTTATAAATGAAAAATATTCTGCGTTATTGGAAACACTAGAAGAAATTTCTGTTGCGAATGATTCTGACCGCGAAGCGGCTTCAACTGCTGAGAATCTAATTAGTAAAATAACATCATTTCAATTTAATTTAATGATGCTATTTTTTAGAAAAATATTTGCCATTACTACTGAAGTGTCTAGATATCTACAAACAAAGGAAATAGATTTTGTACAGGCAATCAATTTGATTGATGTTGCAAAAAACCGTTTAATAGATATGAGATCAGAAAAAGGCTGTAAAGATTTAGTTGACCAAACAAAATTGTTTTCAATTGAAAATAATCTCACGGAAAGGGATTTTTCTCAGGTAAGACTTAGGAGAAAAAAAATTATGCCTGGAGAACTAGCAAGAGATGAGGTTTTATCTAACCCGGAAGATAATTTTCGGACTGACGTTTTTTATAGAATTTTGGACACAATTATTTCATCAATTGAAAATCGATTTTCTGAGTCCCGAAATATACTTAAAGATTTTGCTTTACTTTCACCTGAACGTTTAAAACTTATTAAGAATGAAAATGATTTACCCCATGATACTTTTAAATCCATTTCAAACTGGATTTCGATTGACATCATTCAACTGAAAATTGAATATGTTACGTTCAGTAAAAGTTTAAATAAATTACTTAATGGTATGAATATAAACATGCAATATCAAAACCATGACAAACAGACAAGTGATTTTGATTCAGAGAATGATAGTGAAATAAGCGAAACTGATGTTGAAACTTCAGAAAATAAGGTAACATGCCTGCAAATTCTTAAAATTTTATCTAGCTATGACCTTCAACACGCATTTCCAAACTTATTTAAGACATACAAAGCACTAGGTACAATACCTGTATCTTCTGCATCTGCAGAAAGAAGCTTTTCAAAGGTGATAGCAAATTAATTTAATTTTAAAAATTCAACATTTTTTTATTAATAAATTATGTTTTGTATTATTTTAGGTAAAGCTTATTAAAACAAGACTTCGCTCAACTACAGGTCAGTGTCGGTTGGAAAGTTTATTGATGTTAAGTATGGAAAGAGACATACTAATAAACCAACAAGAAGTAATTGATAAGTTTGCTCAAACATCAACACTGCTGAAAAAAAAATTGATGTTTAAATAGCACACTTAATTTGTTATTAAGTAATTTAATGTACAATAAAGTAAAGTGCTATTATAAATTTGAATTTCTTGTATTTAAAAATAAAATAAAAGTGTTACCATAATTTTTATATGATTTAGCAATTAGAATTTAGATGGTTACATATTTGCTAAAATTCAAAACCTCATATAGGATAAAATTGTATTTCATGTTTAATAATGTCTATTTATTATATGATATTAAATTAACTGATTAGGTACTTAATTGGAATACTATAACCTTTTATTAGTTCCATTGTAATTGTATGACAAATGATAGTTCTCAAATAGGTTACAATCCTCAATAAACTTGAAAAACTTTAGAAGGGGCCTGGCTATAGGCGTTTGAGATTTGGGGTAAAGGGTACTGAAGCAGTGAAGCCCAACTATTAACTAGGTAATAAACTATTATAATAATATTGAATAAGCTTAAAAAAATTTAGTAAATATTTTGGGGGACTT